TTAGCATTGTTGTTGATCTCAACTTTTGTCAAATAAATACAATAAATATGGAAGAAAGTGTTTTTGAAGGAGCATGAATTGGCTGTTATTGCTGTTTTCCCTATTTTTGTTATGATGTGTTATTACCATTAGAAAGCCCATCATTTTGCTAAAAGCTTGAACTTTATTTTATTTTAATTTGATAAATTGATGTTTTTTTTTATTTTCAAATTACAAGAGACAGCAAAAATAATTAATGGGGTAGTTTCCATGTAGTATTTTAGTTTGATTTTACTTTGAAAACAAAATGTAAGGTAGTTAAATACGACTCTGGGGAAAGTGTATAGAGAGTAAGACATATAAGTATCAATTTCCACAGTCAACAATGTAGCACTCGGCGTGTACAGTTCTAATTGACCCAAGACACTACAGCTTCGACACAGAGCAGACGGCAGACTACGATCGCATCGAGACGCCACGCTCTCGGTCCCCGAGTTTAGACACTCACAATTCCCAATTGAGCCGCCACGCTTTCCCACATAGAGCTCCACGACTCTGGCCTCACTCAGCTCTCTGCTCTGCTCCAGGCTTCGTCTCAACGTCTACGACACTGCTGTATCCAGGACTACTAAATAAATATGAAACTCACTAAACACTGTATCTAATCAACCCAACAACGTAACATAATCGTACATTACATTGGTGACCCCAGAGAGTTTCGACGATACCCAGGCACGATGGACTACAACATGGATTCTCACTGGACCTCTACTGCTGCTGCTGCTTGCTGTGGACCGCTGCCACCAGTCATGGAAAGCTGCCAACACCCTCGCCATAGCTATGATTTACACCGCGATGATCTCTACAAACATGTTCATATAATTCTGTATTACTTCTGGTAGATCGTTTATGTAGATGATGAACATTACTGGTGCAAGAACTGAACCCTGTGGTCCTCCGTTAGTAACACTCCTCCAGTCAGATACATTGTTTCTGATTACTGCTCTCATCTATCTGTCAGTTAGAAAATTTTTCATTCATGTCAGAAGTCTTCCTGTCTCTCTTCCAGCATGTTACAGATTCCAAAACAGCCTCTTGTGTAGGACTCCCTGCAGTCATCCCGTACTTTTGGGTGGATGGGTGAGAGAGAGAGAAAGGAACAATGGGAGAGAGGTAGAATGCTAGGGAAAGGAAGGGAGGGATGTGGAGCGAAGAAGAGAGGGAGAGAGACATACATACAGACAGAGAGACAGAAAGACTGTTCCGGGCACTGCCGGGTAACCTATATCTCTATAAAAGATGGTCTACTTGTTTGTTTGTTCAAGACTGGATGGCAGACGTTTGCGGGTTGACTCACACAACTCTACATAGTGACTGACAATTTTTGGGGAGAAAAAAAAAGTGGTCGGGTCTGGCCTCTTCGCCCGCACTTAGTGTACCTCTTCACCAAGTTGGTGGATATGAAATATTTCACCAAAATAAAAAGTGTTCAACATTCGTTTGAATGTTATTCAGTTATTGACATGCAAATCAAATATTCAAACAGCAGATTTGCGTTCTAGTCACAATCTTTCATTATAACTATATAAATATTGTGTACTAAAATGTTTGCTTGGACATGGAGATATAGAGAGAATGTGTGGTGGGGGAAGTTGGGTTGTGAGAGACCTTTGAGGGTAGATGGGAGAGGCCTGGGCATGGGGTCGTCCCGGGCACAGCCGGGTACTCAATCTAGTAGGTTTTAAAATTTTGGGAGATGGGTTGTCATGGTGATGTGGCTTGATGACAGATAAATTTACCTCCATCTATGCGTTTCCACCCTCTCCCTTCCCATAAAATGTACTTAGAAGTTGTTTAAACTAAATAATCTTTAAAAATTATAGAAACACGTTTGGAGATTATTGAAAAAAGTCCACCAAATTTCATCTCATTATTTTGGATGTAGAGACCAGGAAATACATTTCATGGTGACGTGGGTGGGAAGTAAGCCGCACTATGAACTTATTGTATTCTTAACCCTTAATTGTGTTGCTAAGGGCTATTTGGCCATTGTCACACACAGGCACATACAAAAAAAATTTCTAAGCCTGTTAATATGTTCATGGGAAATGGGAAAAAATAATTAAAATCATGGGAAAAATAATAAAAAAATCGTAAGTGGCATATTTTGCCTACTATAGGGCGGGGAAGTTTGGCAAAAAACAGACGCTGATTCATCATGCATCCCAGGCGGTCTACTATGCCCCAGTTGTCAAGCAGGCATGGCCACAAAGAGATAATTACCTAATTATTTCAATGCGTCTGATTGATTTTTCTTCGTTTTTTTGGCAGTAATATTATTCAATAGTGTGTAGTGTGATATATTTATATAATAAAATGTGTGAATCATCGCTGTACTCAAAATTTTGGTGGGCATATTGTTGATTCAATAACTATGTTCATCAAACAGTGAACAAATACTTTGTCGGTTATTACTCCATATACACAGGTTATATATAAGTATCTGCGTGTTTTGTTCACATAACGAACCACTAAGTTGGTATTATGAGTAAAAAAGCAAGAAGGAGTGACCGCAACACACCAGTCAGCCACTCGCTGCCACTCACTCCCTCAGCACTTCACTCGCCCACATTCTGCTCCCACCATACTGTTTTTGCTTTTTTCACTATATACAGACGTTATATATAAGTATCTACATGTTTTGTTCACCACAACTGCACAACTAGCTGATATATTTAGTTCAGGCACTAAGAGATGTCGCTACACACAGTCAGCTGGCGGCTGCCTCCCTCATACATTCAAGGTCAGACGCACTAAAATTTCTCCCCCAACAATACTGTTTGTGGTGTTATTACCCTATATACACACATTATATATAAATATTTAATGTTTTGTTCGCCATAACCGTTCAACTAAGCCAGTATAGTGCCCAAAGAGCATAGGGGCCACCCCTACCAACATGACATATCATGCAGATGTCGCCACCTCCCTCACCAAAATGGCTTCTCCCCCACACTTCTTTTGTTGTTATTACACTATATATACACGTTATATGTATATATATAAGTATCTACATTTGTGTTCACCATAACGAACCACTAAGTTGCTATGCTGAGTGGCAGTGGCAGCCAGTTGCAGCCCGCCACTGGCTGTCTCTTCCTCCCTCCCTCACCTTACCTGACTCGCCACCATTCTCCTCTGACCATACTGTTTTTGCTTTTATTCACTATATACAGACGTTATATATAAGTATCTGCATGTTTTGTTCACCATAGTGAACAACAAAGCTGCTATAGTGAGTCCAGACAGTAAAAAGTGGTCACACAGAGTCAGTAGACAAGGCTACCTCCCTCCCCACCAAGATTACTCCTCTCACTAGAGCGCTAATTATCACAACAATCCTGTTATTATCAGAATCTTGGTTATTTTTTACCAGTCATGGGTCTTCTGTAATACTATCATCGCTAAATAATAGCATGACCATATATATTATGGCATTTTTAGGCGATGCTGTGATCACAAGCTGAACAGCAGTGCTGTGAGCTCATGCTACGTGTACCAGCCTTAGTGGCTCACTCACTACTGAGGACCTCACACCCGGGAATGTGGCCCACGATTTTATTTTTAACATGGCGTCTGTTTACAAGAGCCCTGATGAAGGTGAGGTGAACCATGTGTATCCATGGGCCATTTAAATCTTGCATAGTACTCCAACACGTCATGTGCCATGATGCACAATTTATAGCAAGTTACTCAACACTTCACATGACGTGATGCGCAGTTTAAGGGTTAACAGTCAGTCTAGGAAAGCATTGTTAGATATTGTTATAATATAAATGGTGGGCTTTCTATGGGGAAACTGGTACTATTAAGGGGTAATGGTAGTTAGAAAACAGAGTTATCAAATAGGGGAGAGTTAAAAGGCCCGGCCCCCAAAATAAATTATCCACAGTAATAATACTTGCTACTAGACCATGTCAGTCTAAGGGTTGATCAATACACTCCCACACAGGAAGAAGGGATACTCTGTTCCAAGGTACTTATTTATTAACCCCTTAACAACCCCACATACACACTCACACCAATAACAATAATAATAATAACTTTACCACACTATCTTACGTTAAAAGCCTTGGTCCACTTAGGCAGGATACAAGGTTTACGCTAAGAACAAGCTAGGGTAAAGTACTACTGGATAAGCACTGAAGCTGGATGCAGCTTAGGGTAGAGACACCACGTGGTACCCTAATACAAAACACAACACTTAGGGGTACCCAGAACACTGGCAAATACTACCCCCAGCTCTCACCAATATTTACTACCAGAGTAGGTTCACTTAAAAACGCCCCATACTTAACTTAATGGTACAGGAACTTCAGGTAAGGGAAATAAGTAAGAGGAGAAGGGAGGAGAGTAGGGGTGCAGCCATAGAGTAGGTCTCGTCCCCACGAACGCCAGCCAGAAGAAGCACGCTCCTAGCGACCAGCTAGGCCTCCCGCATGTCGTGGTGCCGGAAGGAGCCTAATTGATCGTGCAGCTAAGCACATTAAAGATCTTCCCCTATGCAATGTATTGTTACTTTACAAATGATTAAAGTATTAGTAAACATAGTTGGTGCCTATGTTATTATTTAATAATCAACCCCCAGCTCAATCTTTAAATGTTCTTTGAGAAACAAGAATAGTCTTACGTCTGGCAGGGAAGATATAAACAATTGACAATTGCCACTCGTGATGCGCTCAACTGTACTATAAGAAAGTTTAATAACTCAATTTTGACCTCTGGTTTCCACTGAAGAACCCAGGGTCGTAACAAATATCATAATAAACCAAACTCTAACATTTTCTTATGAAAGATGGGCCGTCTGTGGTAATGATCGTTGAGGGAATTCCGCCTGTAGGAAACACAATGGCAACAATGTTCTATATTTTTTAAAGGCAAAATATGGTCATTTTATTAAGGCAAAGGTAATTCTCTTTTATCAATAATTATTTCTATCGTCAGACTTTTCTGAGACGACGATGTGGTGGTGGGAGCGAGTGTTGTGGGGAGTGTGGCTCCTGGTGAACCTGCTACTCTCCCGTAGCTACAGCGGTAACCTCATGTCCTACCTGGCAGTCAGGTACATACCCAAGCCTTACCCAACTGTCCAAGAGTTTCTGGACGACCCGTCAGCCATCCTGGTATGGCAGCAGCACTCCTCCACTGAGCAGTACATACGGGTAAGCATGTGATGGCTGCTCGACCGCCCCATATAACAGAGATCCTACATAATCCTAGTTATAATGCTTACCTTCGCTGCATTAGGGAAGCTAAATGTAAATGGATCGCTACTTACAAGAGCAGTAATTCTACGAGCAGCTTCTGTTATTATCGTTATTGACATCATTGGTACAAGTGTTCATATGGGTGTTAGTGAACACTGCTGTTTTCATTTCATCAACTTTTTTTGTATTCATAATGATCACAAAAACGTACTCCAAATTATATAAATTATTCGGATGAAAATAGAATTTCTCTATATTATGCCAACTTTTGTTTCTCTTAATTAAAATTTTTTGCTTGTGTACATGTTTTCCAGTCGCGGGGTTATGGTTTAACCCGGGAGCTGGCAGCCCTGGAGGAGAAGGGGCGGGTAATGCGCGTCTCTGTCAACCAGTTTTCCAGCAAGAATGAAGCAACGCTAGTCAGGCGAGCAGGCCGCGTGATCCTCTTCTTTGAGATTATCTTATACACTCTCCTCGGTCAAGAGTTCTCTAAATCAGGTTGATACAATGGAGAGACACGGCACTACAACACAAGTATTTAATTTTACAGCTCTGACAATTTTTATTATAATACAATGTTAAAGTTTTTTCTTTGTTATGGGTTAAAGTGATTCACATCTTTACATGGTTTCCTTTTTCACACAGGACGGTGCGAGTTTTACATCTTAAAGGAAAGGTTCAACCCCAGTATGGGTGGCATGATGGTTCCTAAAGACAGCCCTCTTCTAAGTGCTTTTAATGACAAGTATCAAAATAGTGTTCCTTTAATCAACTGTGTGTATGTCTTCGTGTGTGTGTGTGTGTGTGTGTGTGTTGTAGTCACCTAGTTGTTCTTGCGGGGGTTGAGCTCTGGCTCTTTGGTCCCGCATCTCAACCGTCAATCAACAGGTGTACAGGTTCCTGAGCCTATTGGGCTCTATCATATCTACACTTGAAACAGTGTACGGAGTCAGCCTCCACCACATTACTTCCTAATGCATTCCATTTGTCAACCACTCTGACACTAAAAAAGTTCTTTCTAATATCTCTGTGGCTCATTTGGGCACTCAGTTTCCACCTGTGTCCCCTAGTACGTGTGCCCCTTGTGTTAAATAGCCTGTCTTTATCAACCCTGTCGATTCCCTTGAGAATCTTGAATGTGGTGATTATGTCCCCCTAACTCTTCTGTCTTCCAACGAAGTGAAGTTTAATTCCCGTAGTCTCTCCTCGTAGCTCATACCTCTCAGCTCGGGTACTAGTCTGGTGACAAACATTTGAACCTTTTCCAGTTTAGTCTTATGCTTGACTAGATATGGACTCCATGCTGGGGCTGCATACTCCAGGATTGGCTTCACATATGTGGTATACAAAGTTCTGAATGATTCCTTACACAAGTTTCTGAATGCCGTTCTTATGTTAGCCTGCCTGGCATATGCCGCTGATGTTATCCTCTTGATATGGGCTGCAGGAGACAGGTCTGGCATGATATCAATCCCCAAGTCTTTTTCTTTCTCTGACTCCTGAAGAATTTCATCTCCCAGATGATACCTTGTATCTCGCCTCCTGCTCCCTACACCTATCTTCATTACATTGCATTTGGTTGGGTTAAACTCTAACAACCATTTGTTCCTCCATTCCTTCAGCTTGTCTAGGTCTTCTTGAAGCCTCAATCAGTCCTCCTCTGTCCTAATCCTTCTCAAAATTTTGGCACCGTCCGCAAACATTGAGAGAAATGAATCTATACCCTCTGGGAGATCATTTACATATATCAGAAATAAGATAGGATTGTGTACAGAGCCCTGTGGGACTCCACTGGTGACTTCACGCCAATCTGAGGTCTCACCCCTCACCGTAACTCTCTGCTTCCTATTGCTTAGGTACTTCCTTATCCACTGGAGCACCTTACCAGATACTCCTGCCTGTCTCTCCAGCTTATGTACCAGCCTCTTATGCGGTACTGTGTGAAAGGCTTTCTGACAATCCAAGAAAATGCTGTCTGCCCAGCCTTCTGTTTCTTGCTTATTTTTGTCACCTGGTCATATTAAGTCTGTCACGCAAGATTTACCCTCCCTGAACCCATGTTGGCGATTTGTCACGAAGTCCCTTCTCTCCAGGTGTGTTGCCAGGTTTTTTCTCATGATCTTCTCCATCACCTTGCATGGTATACAAGTCAATGACACTGGCATGTAGTTCAGTGCCTCTTGCCTGTTGCCCACTTTGTATATTGAGACCACATTTGCCGTCTTCCATATTTCTGGTAGGTCTCCCATCTCCAGTGACCTACTATACACTATGGAGAGTGGCAAGCAAAGTGCCTCTGCACACTTCTTCAGTACCCATGGCGAGATCCTGTCTGGACCAACAGCCTTTCTAACATCCAGATCCAGCAGGTGTCTCTTGACCTCCTCTCTGAAAATTTCGAACCCTTCCAAGGCCGCCTGGTTTACTTCCCTTTCTCCTAGCACAGTGAGCTCACCTTGTTCTATTGTGAAGACCTCCTGGAACCTCTTGTTGAGTTCTTCACACACCTCTTTGTAATTCTCTGTATACCTGTCCTCGCCTGTTCTAAGTTCCACTACCTGTTCTTTGACTGTTGTTTTCCTTCTGATGTGACTGTGGAGTAGCTTTGGTTCGGTCTTGGCTTTGTTTGCTATATTATTTTCATATCTTTTCTCTGCTTTTTTTCTCACCCTGACATACTCATTCCTGATTCTCTGGTATCTCTCTCTGCTTTCTGGTGTTCTGTTATTCCGGAAGTTCCTCAACGCCCTTTTGTTTAGTTTCTTTGCTTCCATACATGCCCAATTATTCCATGGATTCTTCTGTTGCTTCTCGGATTTTTCCCTTTGGGCCGAGATGAACCTGTTTATTGCCTCCTGACACTTTTGGGTGACATAGTCCATCATATCTTGTAAAGACTTAGCTCTGAGGTCTGTGTCCCAAGGTATTTCCCTTAGGAAACTTCTCATCTCCTCATAATTTCCCTTTCGGTATGCCAGCCTTTTGTTTCCTTAGTTCTTTTTGGGGGGAGATAATTCCTAGCTCTACCAGGTACTCAAAGTTCAATACACTGTGATCACTCATTCCCAAGGGTGCTTCCATCTTAACTTCCCTTATATCCCTCTCATTTAGGGTAAATATCAAATCAAGCATTGCTCGTACATCTTCTCCTCTCATTCTTGTTGGTTCCTTGATGTGCTGGCTTAGAATGTTTCTTGTTGCCACGTCCAGCAGCTTAGCTTTCCACGTTTCTGGTCCTCCATGCGGATCTCTGTTCTCCCAATCTATCCTCCCATGGGTGAAGTCTCTGATGATTAGTAGTCCAGATCCATTCCTGCTAGCAACAGAAGCTGCTCTCTCTATTATGTTAATGGTGGCCATGTTGTTTCTATCATATTCCTGTCTGGGTCTTCTGTCATTTGGTAGTGGATTATATATGATTACGACTATAATTTTTTGCCCTCCAGTTGTTATGGTGCCTTTTATGTTGTCACTGAAACCTTCACAGGCCTGAATAACCATCTTCTCAAAATCCTAGCCTTTTCTTACCAGCAGAGCTACACCACCACTACCTCTTCCTTCTCTCTCTCTTTCCTCAAAACATAATAGTCCTGTGGGAACACTGCATTTGTTATGATTTTCGTTAGCTTTGTTTCTGTGAGAGCTATTATGTCTGGGTTTTCCTCTAGTACCCATTCTCCAAGTTTATTTGCTTTATTTTTAATTCCATCTATGTTTGTTTACATTGCCTTGAGGCTGATTTTCTTCTGTCCCTTCTAAAATCGCCTCCTTGGTGAGTGTTCTGCTGGTGGGGGAAGCTGTTCCATGGGTGTGAGGAATTGTGAGGTGGATAACAGGGTCTCAGAGGATACTTTGATGAGGGATGGGGGGTAAAGTGAAGGGGGAGGGACAGGGTGGGTATGGGGTGAAAGAGGAGGGAGAGCAGGAAGGAAAAGGGGGAGGAGGGGAGGGATAGAAGTGTGGGGGATTGGGTGTGTGGGGAGGGAGATTTGGCTGAGTATTTGAGTGGGGGTAGGGAGAGTTTGGAGTAGGTAGATTTTCTATGCTGAGGAGGGTGGTGGGCTATACGCTGGTGTTACTGGCTAGTGTGTGTGTGTGTGTGTGTGTGTGTGTGTGTGTGTGTGTGTGTGTATTTGTGTTGCTGGAGGTACTCAGCTATGTGTTCTGGAGGTCCCGCTCTGGCTCAACCGTTGTTGGAAATAAACAAACATTTAATTGCCATTGTATGCTAGACATAGCATTTATTAATCCTACTAATTTGTTGAATTAACAGAAATTAATATTTTCCTATCTGCACGTCATTTACCAAATTCTTCCCACTTAGAATGGCCGTATTGCATCAGATAATACCCAGCAGAGGTATAAATTCTATCATCATGCCAAAGGATTGAATAATATTCTTTACAAGAATTACTAACCGACAATATAACCATTAGTGATCTAATAACAACGTGTTATCAGCCAAAAGATCACTACATAACAGTATATCTGTTATCTTAAATCAACATGGAGGAAGCAGAAATTTCTCTCCATTTCTCGTTTACTGTTTGACGAGATTTTAAATAATATCTAACTCCCTATAATTGCAACTCTAGTCTTATTGCCTCATTAAGTAGAGTAATTACAAGGAAAAGAATTTTCCGTTTCTACTCTGAAACATGTTTGCATATTTGAGTCAGGTTGAGGGAGAGAGGAGGTGCACATTGGACTTGCTTTCGACGTTACCTGGAGTGAGGAGCGTCATTACTTTCTAGCACACACGTGATCGGCCTTTGCAGTTAATTGGCCTCGAGTACATTAATAAGTGGACCACAATGAATTCTGTGACTGTTGTGACTCCATCTGCGATCCTAGGATCGTATCGGCGAGCACCAACACAGTTAAGTGGCGATTAATAGTTATACGAAGCTTTCTTTACTTATTTTTGACCATTAGTTCGTTGTTAGCACGTGTTCCCTCCTCTAAATACAAGTGAGTCCCCAGTGAACGAATTTACCTCTTTCATGATTGATAATTGCGTATTTAATAGGGTGTAAGTAGAATCTACATTTTATTGGGTTTGCAGAGTGTGTGTACTCCATCTGAGGAGAGATCAACTCCCATGCCATGCTTGGTGGATGCATGTTCTAGCAGGTTCCAGACGATGCCACCCCAACACTTGTGCTATTGTTCACTGTCACAGTTAAAAGGCTGAACCTAATTTAGTTCTCTACTAACCTCTTAACCTGTGTAAACTGTAATATTATTTGATTGTATAAGCCCCATAAATTTTGGGCATATTTTTTTTGTCAGTTACTAACACATTGTCAGGAACAATTATTTCTGTCATGCTGATTATAGCATTTTTTACCATTGATTAATTTAAGTTCTACTGAGATAATTGAATCATTGAACATTTAATTAATTTCTGATTTATATATTTCTTAGTAAATTTCACTAAACCCTTGATGATGAACCAGCATCAATTAAGTGTACTAGATAAGTATTAATTTCTGGTATTAACCCCCAATTTGGTTTGGGAATGTTTAACTCTTGAGTAATAATTATTCTTATAGTCCTTTAATGCTCCATAAATAATTCTTGATGATTATACCATCCATAGGCACTGGTATCTCAGTCCATTTTATTGCATTAGTTATCTGTTTCTCTTTTCAGTAAAAAAAAAAAGGTGGACCTTCGAGTATTTCGATTTAATTAATTAAATATCCATTATACTGAGAGTTAGATTTCCCACACTAAAATTTG